GGACGGGGGGACGGGGGGGTGCAGCGGGGGCGGCGGCAGCAGCAGCAGCAGCAGCATGGTTCTATTGTCTGGAGCCTAATTGTCGCTCCCGCACGCACATGCAAACCGATCCAAACAGTCTGAAAGGGGTTTTCATTCAAATAAATGTGTTTCTGACGCGCAGATACAACAATCGGTCACATCTCTCACCTTCTGTGCCCGGTCTTGCAGCAAAGTCCTTCCAAGTAGTGATTCTTTTATCTGCCCGGTGATACTGTGGTGCGGGGCAGCTCAGAAAGACCACACTCATTCATCAGTTTTAGCTCAAAGAGCAGGAGGAGGAGGAGCAGGAGCCGCAGCAGCGTCCATCCAGTTGGTCCTTACACGCATTAACCAGAACAAAAAAACAAACAAAAAAAAGCCATTACGAAAGTTCCGGAAGTACCTGAACATTAACAACTGTTGTGGTATCAGCAGCCATGCCTTTCTTTAAAAAGTTGAAATAGCTACATAACTTAGAGAAATATGTCATTATTATTATTATTAGAGTGTTTGTTGTTTTACTGCAAAACTTACTACAAGTATTTAGCTAGAGAAGCGAGCTAATCAAAAAGCTCGGCATAAAAACACAGCTTAAAATAACATGAAGGTAACCAAAAGTACATTGATGAAGTTGACAAAAATACACATATAGCGTCATAGGCTAATATAGTTATTAACCTATAGGTAGCTAAATGTTATTGTTTCCCCTGCTCCCCTGTGACTCTATCCACCGAAAACTACTATATCTACTAGAATTACTACAAGTTTCTAAAATAAATAAATACATTAGTTAAGATCCATCTGACTGTCAAGCTGCTGTGGTCAGAACCTCGGGCTCATTAAAATACACAGTGAAATATTTAATTATTAATATCTGTGTCAGGCAATTTCGCCCGAAAAAACCATATATAGAGAAATCTAACGACATCTGAGAGCATGTCCTGAGGGAGTTTACTGTAAATTACTATGCTGCAAACACATTATTACCCAGAAATCCGTCAATCAATCCGTACACCTGTTGCCCTGGGAAACCCTGTGTTAATGATTTGTGTTTTATGTCTGTGACATCTGATGCCCTGGACTGACCGGTTATTGGCTGCAGTTTCTTTCTCCCACATTATACCGCCACCTACTGGCCAACCTGTTGACCTACTTTCATTTATCACAATTTACCAAGTTAAAGTTTTTCCAGCCCCTATAGTTACATGTACTGTCTTACATTTTAATTTTAAAACACACAAACTCACATTCCCAGTATTAGAATGTGAATGAAAAAGCTAATTTAAATATATTTTTTCACAATGTCAGATGATTCACATTGTCCAATAAAATACAAACAGATAAAACACTATTCAGACACAACATCAAAATATTTTAAATATTTCAAAGGTCCATGGCCCAGTATTAGAATGTGAATGAAAAAGCAAGTTGACATGCAGTACAGCACATGAAGATTATTTATTGTTAAAGAGAGGTCAAGAGCAGACAGCAGATTAAATAAACCCATGTCTCTTCCTCCACTTGACACTGGTGAGCAGAAGAGGCTCAGCCTCAGCACTGACTGATGATTCATCAGTTTGTTCAGTTAAGACTCATAATGATGAATATCATCACACATCTGAGCCAAGAGCAAAGCCATTACAGGCAGATGGTCTATATTTGTATTCATTCTTGAAAACCTTATGAACTAGACCAACGGTGGTGATGAATAATGACGCGTCAACTTAATGAAGCACTTAATAAAACAGTGATTTCCCTAATTATCTAATCAGTCCTGAGGAGATTAGGACACTGTCAGGAAAAAGGAAAGAAAGGGTCATTTATTGAAGTTTATATCACATGAATGGACTAACATCACGTACGAAATATTAGATATAAAACACACAGGATCATTTTGTGTTTAGTGATTCAGAGTAAGATATGAGCTTTTTCTTATATAGGTTATGTGTGATGTAAGAAATTAGGGCCTGTAGATTTAAATGAAAGATTAGCAGATTTATATCTACTTTTATTTGCTTAAATTTAATTTAATTTGACATAGTCCTTGCTAAACTACAGAAACATGGCCTTGACATTAGGATTGTTTCCTTTACAAATGGCGCAGAATTAGTAATAACGTGTAATTAATATAAGATGACAGACTGGCGGTCGTTTCTAAAACTAAAAGTCTTTCAAACAACTTCAACAGATGTGAGCAGTCAAGAGAGAAAAGACAAGTCAGTCTCAGTTTGACGCCATTCCCATACGTGTGAACTCCAAATGGCCACTAGATGGAGACACTCACCATGTACATGCCTCGGCATCACTCAAGTTGGTTTTAATCCCTAACTATAAACAGGATCGTTGAACGTCATTGTAACACTGAAGAATACAGGACCAATGAAGGCACCAATCAGGAAGCGCACTGATTTGTGTAAAACAAATAATGTTGCAATTATAGGTGTTAATGTATATATTTATTACAGATACTGCAAACTAAGTGTAAGTGCTGAGCAATGCATGCTCTTTGTTTTCCTTTTGAATCACATTTAGACTTAAAACATAAATCAGTTATTTAGCACAGATTGTCTAAAAATAGAGAGTGGTTATTTTTTGGACTTTTTTTAGAATCAGAAACATCTGGTCTGTGCAGGAAGTACGCACTGGTGGTGGTGATGATGGATCAGTTGAAAACAGAGGCTGAGCAGCATATGATGAAGGCAGATGTTAAATGACTCCAACTGGAATGTACAGATATGTAGCAGTTTGCTAATGTTTCCCAGGGAAACATTTATCATTTGTTTCACCTTAGAGCTGTACACTAGGGGCCGCCAAGGATCACAGCCTGCGTCCCAGCCTGGGAAGGGCACCTTATGTAAAGACCAGTGCCAAATCATATGCAGGAATTATCTGCTGCAGTGACCCCGAGTTGAAGAGATCAGCCAAAAAGTGATTCATTACTGTCAAATGATGGTGCCGGCCACGTAGTGATTGATGTACCTTATTTTTAAGCCTAATTTATTGCATAATTGCATATTATTTTAAAGACTAACTCATCCTTTTTAAGGCTTTGCTTGTCTTTGTGTGTGTGTGTGTGTGGGTGTGTGTGTTGGTGTTTTGAACGAAACCACGTGTCATCTTTGCCTCCTGCTTATCAGCTCTGCCATATGCTGTTTTATGTAAAGGCAGAGTCTTGTCGCGTGGCCGTATGTCAAATCAAAAAGATGAAAAATGAAACAAATAATAGAACAGTGAGAACAGTGTTGTTTCTCTTCAAACTGCTATCTAACCTTTAACCTTTAATATTCACACTCATTTTTTCTACTTTTATTTTGATGACCTTGACTTCAGCGTAGGTCCGTACAGTATTCTTAAAGGACGCCGGAGCGGCACGTTCAACCTGCAGGAGGCTGATAGCATTATGCCGTTGACGGTGAGCTCCCAGAGATCCCACTGTAAAATGCTACACTTTCTAGTCAATGATGCGTTTACAGCACATGCAGTTTTTCCCCACAGTTTGTGTCTTTTCCCTTCGCGTCGCTTCTATTTCAGTTCCAGTTCATTCGAATGCTTCGTTCCTACATTGTGAGCCATCTGTTCAGTGAACTCTCTCGCTGATTTAAGCTGCCATAAAAAAGAAGAGGAGCTCAAAAACAGAAACAGCTTGGCAGACATTCTTACCTACTACACACACATTCCACCAACATACACCTGACAATGTAAAAATCTTGCAGGAGAATTTGTGCTTAAAAAAATTAAAACTGCAATGTCATTTTGTGCTTTAAACGTACTTCACAGACAAAAAAGAAAAAGAAAAATGAGGAAGCTGTAGCTGAGTGTAGCTTTAGCCCTAGGTCGCTTCTATTCTGTTCATTAACACTTTTTCAAAACAGTTGAATTCAGCAGTTTTGGACCCTGATCTGCACAACAGGCCCTGAATTACACATTCACTCTGTGTCTACAAAGTGTCAACTTCTGTCATTTGTGCTGAATGATAACGTTGCCCTGCTGCAGCACAGACAAAACCTCTCAGTTACTAACTGTAAATAATAACAGTAATGTTGATGCAGACTGTGCTGTATATTGGCCATGTGTGTCTCACTACACTGGCACAGACTTGTTCTTTTCCCATCCCTGCGGTGGTAAAGAACATGAATGAATCAGCAAGAGTATTCTTATTTCCCACTTTTTGCCTCCATCTGCCATCGTGACTGTTTTATTGCTTCCACTGGGAAACTGTGAAACTAAGACATCAGTGATGTTAGAAGGAGCAGACCCCTGGCACACAGACTGTGTTTATGTTAAATCTCCTAAATCCTGGGGTTTGTTGGGAAGCTGTTGAAAGTAGGTGAAAATCTGCACTATTATCATCAACATAATGGGGAATAAATGCACAGAGACGTCTCCACACATACAGCGCAGTCAGTGCCATTTGCTATAACCTAGATTACCGCAGAGATTCAAACCTGTTTCGTTCTCTTATTCACTCTGTGAAGACAGACATAAATTTCTGAAGAATCTGCTGTTGAGTGCTGTCGCACAATGTGCAGAGTCACACTTTCAATTAACTCAAGTCATCAGCTTGTAATAAATAGAATCCCATTATGAAGATCCAAACATTTTCCTCTCTGCCATCACTGCAGCCTACATTCTGGAGCAGGATACACTGGGATCTGGACCAAACAGAACGCTGACAAAGACCAAATCTTTCCCGTTATGCACATTACACTAATTAACTCTGCATCACTCAGAGGCTGAAAAAGGCAGCGTGACACTTAAATGACGCCTAAATAGTTTGATCAAAATGAAGCAGACTCGATGACGGCGCGTGGCCTCGTCTGTTGCACTCAGCCTTTTGAGCACAAGGCTACAAATGTAATCAGGATCTCAAACGTGATCGCACTTATTTCATTTATTCCGCGCTCGGGTTTCATTCAGATTAGCTGGCTCAATTGTTGGTGTCATGGCTTCCACGGCATAAAAAACAACAACTGAGAAGTAGAAAATTAATGAAAAGGAGAAAGATAAATATGAATGGTTGCTCCTCGCCCTTCCCAAGGTGTTATATGATTCACCACAGCTGAAGAAGACAGCTCTCAGCATTCACCAAGCATCACATCTGTTCCCTTGCAATAAATAAGGTTGGTGGAGAAATGCATTCAGAGATGGAGCAGTATTAGAAATAATAACCGGAGATGTTGTTATCGTTGACTCACCAGAGTCAACAGGTCCAAGTACATTAAGAAAAGTAAAAAACACAAGCTGAAATGTTCCGTAAGAAGGACTTGGATTTAAATTCTAAATGTTGAAAATGCATTGTACTCTGTACAACCTTTTTTTTTTCTCTCAGTATCTGAGAGCAGTTTATACCTGGGATGTTGTTTTCACATTACCACTACACCATGTCTGGCCACCTTACTGCTAAGACAACCATGAAAAGAAAGCCGCTCTAATTCTGACAGTTCTGTACTGAGGGGAGCTCAGAGAACAGTCGATGATCCGTCCCACATCTCGGCATCCACTGTGAAAATGAGCTCCCACCATCTGGCAGACCTCAATGATTCACAAAATAATACCCTAGTGCAAGAATATAGTTCGACGAGTGCACCTTGTTGTTGGTGTTTGTGCAGTGATGTGGAGTATGAAGGTCACTGTGTAGTAATTCATTTGTTTTAGGTTTAATATTGCCAAAAACCCTTTTTATATATATTTTTTTTATTTATTTTTAAGGCCGTTTGTACTGTGTTTTTTAACTACTAGCGTTATAATGCAGGCTGTAAGCAGACAAATAATCAGGATGATGATGATCCTGAAAACGTTGACTCAGTCAAATCAAGCTTCAGTCCAAGCTGCAGAAGCGCTACGATGGTTTAATCATTCACGTCTGTTCTTATTTTGCTCATCTCAGCCGACTTGCTTATGTGCCTTAAAGGCAAAAGGCTGAACACGAGCTGAAGATAAAATTGGAACAAGGTTAAATCAGGCCATGTGCTTCCTGGACTCCACAAATAATTCACATTCCTCTCATCCTACTAGTGAAAAAAACTGTTACTTCAGAAATATCTACATGATGAAACAGCTTAAAAGTGTTGGTGGTGGAAATTCACGATTTTAAACTCATTAGTTTGAACCATGAGGAGACGTTACCACCAAGAAAGTTCTTTGTGTCACCAACTTAGCACAGACATGGAACAAAACCAGTAAAAGTAAATGAGCAAATATGGAGTGTAAGTTTGGGCTCAAAAGGATTATAAAGTGTGTAAAAAAGAGTACAAAGTTTTTATTAGTGCTGACTTAACCTCAGAAACGGAGCAGCAGGTTTTTCAGAGTCAGAATCAGGATGACTTTGTTGATCCCCGAGGGAAACTGTTGAACTTTTCAACATTACTGCACCAAAGAGACAGAGCAACATCGTCCTCCACTTCAAACTGCATCAGCCTCCTGGCCTTATTGTTGGCCATGAAAAATTAATCATGTGAAACATGAACTGGTGATTAGAAGAAGTGAAAACACCACAGAAAGACAGGGTGAACTTGTTCTCTTACTACAAGAACTCAGGCAGTAAAAGTGCTGACCGGGGTCTACCCCACCCATCAGTCATTCAATTGGCCAACCACGGTTGACCAATAGGGTTTCCCTGCCCTTTCCTGTTGCTTGGAACGAAGTGGAGTGCTGGCACTCGGCTCATTTTAATCTCCTTAAGTATTCAGCCCCCCTCAGCAGCGTCAATGAGTCAGTCTGTCAGAACGATCGATTGAGCTGTTGCAGGTTTCCTGAGCAAACAGGACCTGCAGGATTCCTCGATTTATCAGCCACTTCACCATAGCAGATTGGAAAGAGATGAGTGGGAATCCTGCCATTAGTCTGGGACTGCAGGGGAGGCAGATGTTGGTGGGTAGTTTATGGTCTGGCTCTCGGTCTCTGTGTGTTTTTATCCACTCTTTGGTCAGCATGGACTCAAAGGATCTTCAAAACCAAATCATGGTATAATGTTTCGGACACATTATTGTCAGACCAAACACAAAAATAAAACTAAAACATATTTAATTGTAAATCGTTTAGATTTTTCGTGACCTGATGCAAACTGGAATGCTACCTCCAGTGATGACAGTCACAAACACCTGCCCAGTCACCCTGCAGGACATCATAATCATGACCATTGCTTTTTAGATAATTTCATTGAAATTCAAATTAAAAAAATTTGACATTGTGCTGGCTGATCACAAAGAAAAAAAAAAAATTGACATTGTGCTGGCTGATCACAAAGAGAAGAATGAGACATCAACTTCAACAAAATACTACTTGCAAATCTTTAGTACATTACATTACATTCTGTCTTAGTTTCGTTGTATTTACAGAATGCCTCCTAAATTCTCTCTGAAAGGGAGGATATATTGAAAAACAGACATTTCTCTAGTTTTTCTAATTCGACAGTTCATAGACTGGTTTGTCTCATTTCTCTGAGCTGACTGAGACGTAGCCCAGTCTAGAGTCTACAGAACATACAGGGCTAATATTCACTGACTGTTTGGGTTTATTCATCTCTATAAAGTCTGGCTGCAGAGGGAAACACTTGGCATCAGAACAAAAGAACAGACTTTTTCCCAGCGGCTGAAGCCGTGGGCCGGGGCTCCGAGGTGCTTTATCTTTGATGTTATTGTGGAGTAGTGTAGATTCAATATATTTTGCTCACTTGGCGCCCTTCAAACTTACATTTCTTTCAAATATGAGTCGTCAATCGTCGTTTTTGCCACTTTGCTGGTGTCGTACAACTTTTTTTGACAGCTGGTCTCAGATGCACGTACAAATCAACTGAACATCGACACTCAAAACAGATCTTAAAGTTAATTAACACAAGGTGATCGCCCAAACTAATCACATCCTGCAATATTACAGAATAGTCATTTAATATCATGATCAATAAGGATTTTTCTTTCCTTTTTTACTTGAGACAAAATCAACATTATACTTTTCATTCGTGTATCTTGAATATTCGTGTATAAAATAACATAAATACAACAGTAATACAAGACAATCCAGTTTGTGCAAAAAAAAAAAGATAAACAGGAATACCCCAATGAAAGAAAGTGGCACATATTTTGCGAATATTTAAAAAATAGTGAGTGTTTTTTTTGTTTTAAAATGTAGACCATATGTTCGCAGCAAAAAGATCAGCCGAAAAGACGTCATTTCACAGTAAAATCACATCCTATTCTGTTTGGTCCTGAAAAACATTTGGTGAAAATTGGCACCAGTTTTGCCGTAAAGACTGCTGTTGAATTTCATTGGGTTTTTTTCAGCTGCTCTTAAATCTGTAGCGTCCTTCCTTCACATGCTGTGTTTTCTATGTCCTGTTACTATCAACCCAAATTCTGAATCAACCACGGTTCTCACATGATGTGTAACACCGTGGAGCAGCCGTGGACACGTGATTCCACAGCGCAGTCGTTCCTGAAGCCTCTGCGCGTGCACGCCTTCTTCAAGCGATATGAGAATCACGTGAGCGCGTACCCGTAGACTGTACTCTCACCCTCTCCCCCCGGTTCATACGCTGTCACATTCTGTGCTGACTGTTGTTTGCCTGTGTGTATTTTTGTGTCTCTTCCTTAAGAGCTGTTTGTTTAGATTAGAAGTTACAATAATCAATGTATAACCCGGTGTTAAACCAAACCTACCAGCACCAAAATACTGAATCCAACAGACTAGTTTTAATGATAAGACATTTGAAAACGTCTCTTTAAAGTCAGTTAAATGTCATAAAAATATATTTATTTATTAGATTGTATTTAAAACAAATAAATGGTGTGTGTTAATTACCAAGTCTAATCTACAAATATTTGACTGATGTTCAAGCTGCAGTTCAATATTTATTTAGCTCAGATCTCAGAGGAGGCTGAGACTGTTTACACGCCACCTTTCTAATGCAGAACAGAACAGAAGTCTTTCTCATTCATCTCCACACTCCTCGTATCCAAATCTCGCTGCTGCGCCTTAATCCACCCACAGGGCCCATTAACTTTGATCTAATCTAATCTAATATCGCTTGCTTTCGCCTCTTGCTCTTTCATTTCCCCTCAGTTTTGCCGTGGCCGTGCAGCGCGCTCCCGTCAACACGTCAGGAGGAGGCAGCTCCAACTGGTGCTGAGGCTGACGAGGATGATGATGATGATGATGATGATGGCGGTGATGGAGGAGCAACGCTGAGTTCGCTCTCCCAATTTTCTCTTCCCTTTTATCCCATTCATGATTTTAAATTACATTGAAAATTACTACATCGCGACATAAAAGCAAACACCGCCGATTGACGTTGTAGCTTTCTCCGTCTCCCTCCTGTCTCCCGAGCCGAGACCGAGATGGGGAACGAAGCGAGCATGGAGGGCGGCGGGCAGCCCGGTGAGCCTGGAGCCGCCGGGACGATGGGGTCGACGATGTCGGCAGGACCTACGACTGGACCGGGGATGAACCAGCACATAAAGCCGGCCAACGGAGCTGCCGCCGGAGGAGGGATGGGAGTCGGAGGCCCGGGGATGGGGATGGCAAGGTAGGAGAAGCGGTGCAGGCGGTGTTCCTGGTGAAGCGGTGGGGCTGAAATACTCCAATATTGATCCTGACACGGAAACTGTTGATGGAGAAGCAGCAGAGCGGATGTAGAGAAGCTCAGGTTTTATTGTGATGTTATTATCACGGTTTTTCACGTGTGGTTTTGATGCTGGAGCATTTGATGCTGTCCGGAGCTGTCCGAGGTGCTGAAACGGTCGGGTTCATTCTGAAAGGTGCCTGGGTTTCATAGGACAGCTGTGACATTGCAGTCTGAGGTTACTACCCCGCTGCCCCTCTGCTTGTACAGATGTGGTTTCTCTCCCCTGTCATGTGCTGCCATAGTATTTCCTCTCCGCTCTGCTCGTAACGCTCGGCACTCATTTTTGACAGCTCCGGTTTTTCTCGATTTTTTACGTGAAATGTGCGGTGACCGAGTCCGTCCTCTGCACCACGGGACGGTGTATTTTATTCCTATGTGCTTCATGTTTGATATTTTACGCATGTCGATGTTCGAATCTCCTCCATTTACGCTCGATTATTTCCGCATGGGCGAGGGGAGGGTGTGTGTGTGTGTGTGTGTGTGTGTGTGTGTTGGTGCACTCAGGTGCGGGTGCGGGTACGTTCAGGGGGCTTGCCTGGCCGTGTAGGCGTGTGTTTGATGATGGTGATGATGTGTGTAGTACTGGTACTACAGCAACGCCAACCTTTCCCACTAATGACGTAGAAGCTGTTGTTGGTGCACGTACCCGCTACCATATACAGCACAGTACCATTAAGTACATCATTGAATACCACTGAGTACCACTGAGTACCTTACTGAACCTAATACTCATACAGAACCGTAATATGACACCAAACATCCACGTTTTCAATCAATATTTTTTTCTTCATATCTTTAAGAACAACAATAACCTGTGACAGAGACCTGAGAACCTTCTGGACCATGAGATTATTGATGCTACTGCTGCCATGGCCCAAAGCAACTATTATAGGATGCAGCTCTAAATGATATAGAGTTCAGGTTTTTTGATTCCCTTTACATCTCTTTATGTCAGTGGAAGGACTCACCTCGATGGTGTGAAAAATGAAAAAAACTACAACTGCGTTTTTCAGTTTGCTATTAGTTAGTTAGTTAGTTAGCATTTTTGTAATTTTCACTGGTTCTAAGACTGTAAATAGAGTAAGTCCACATTCTCATGAATCCCATGATTAAACCTTAAAAAAACATTATGCACTCAAGCTTGATGTCGACTACATTTTAAAATAACTCTAATAAATCAGTGTGACATGTGACATGTTCCCTTACTTATTATAATATGACCTGATGAAACACTCAGCAGCATGTGTACAGTGGGGATACAGTCAAACAACACACACACACACACACACCTCTGTCTCTCTTCCTACTGTATTTAGGACACATTCTGGCTTTGATTGACACAGACGTCTGTGACTGGATCAGCACAGTCCCATCCAGTGTTATGTAACACAGGGAGTCAGAAAAGCAAATCCCAGCCTCATCTTGCTTCTCATGACCTGCAACACAGCTGATCCTGCACAGTGATGCAATATTTCCTTGCAGCTGTTCTTTGTCTCGTTCTCCAAAAACGACTTTTGCGTCTTGGAGGTTTAGATCTAGCCCCGCTCTCATAAGCACGGCTCAACCATTTAGGATAAACGCTGAGGACGGCATACGCAGCCTGCAGCCCCTGGCTTTAAGCATTTATAAAGGCGTAATACACGGCCATGTGAACAGACTGAATCACGTGCAGAGCGTAGTCGCCCTCCTCCCCTCCTCTTTTACTCTCACTCACTCCCTCTCCCCTCTGCAATGCTCTCTGCCTGACTGACTGCCTGCTCTGATATCGTTCTTCTCATCTCCTCTGCACACTCACATGTTTTCCTTCTATTTCTTCATCGCATAAAAAAGAAAAGACCGTGTTCCTCTGCGTCTGTTTTCTCCTCTTCCTCTCTGCTTTCCACCCATTTCATTTTTTCAGTGTGCGTGTCCGAGTGTCTGATGTGTTACCACCATTCTAAATCCCATTCTCTGCTCCTCACTGTTGAAGTCGATCATAAATCAACAACATTTTCTTTTTGGTACAAAAGACGTGGCATGATTGGGTGTTTCTCCAGCGTGGAAGAATCTGCACTTCTCTGCACCACTGACACCAAAAGGATTATAAAAAAACACAATACATGGTGTCACTTCTCTGTGAATAGGATCAGTAATTCATTAGAGCGGCCCGGTGCTGTTCAGCAGCAGGAGTAAATAATGTTTGTCGTGAAGAAATTGCAGCTGTGACTAAGTCAAAATTTCAATTTGCAGCTCACTGCTATGATTTTCCTGTTTTTCTAATGTGTTTGTTTGATTACTATAATTTCTGCTGCACAGAGTAATAATCTCACACACGTACACACAGCTTTTGTTAATTGGAATGTTTTCACTGCCGCTTGCAGGGTTTCCTCGCTGTAAGTATCTCCGACTGTGTGTCTTACAGCAGGAAAATTCAGGTATTTTGGTGACCTTTGCTCTAAGATAAACAAATGACTATACTGTGTAAACAACGAGAAGCATACATGTTTACATTGATTTAAATAAAACTATAGAACTTGTACATCTGTGACTGCACACATGCTCTTTTGATCAAACCTCCGCCCCTTATTTTCTTCTTCTCCACACACGCTCTGTGAAAAATACAAGTGGTAGCTGATAACTTGACTCGACCTTTATAATGAGATGTTTCATATCACTATAAACACGTAGGCGTGTTTCTGTAGGCATAGGAAGATAAATATGTTAAAGTGAGAGGAAATATGAGGAAACAGAACGAGAGATCGGACGGTGATAGGAAAAACAAGAAGACGGATGAAGCTGCTGGAAATAGAATCAGTACGGGAGGATGAGCAGTGGCTGAAGGGATGTTGGTGGAGTTTGACAGAATGATGGAGGAGTGTTAAATCAAAAAAGTATATAAACATGTGACCTCCGGTCTCAGGTCTCTGGGAAAACCCTGTTATACCAACAAAAATCAATCATCAGGAGAATAAAGGAATTAGGTTTAAACCTTTGACCTGGAATTTATCCTGGAATGTCATTGATTTGTTTGTAGTTTCAGTTCAACACAAAAATACACAGCCAATCAGCCAATCAGGCTGCACAACGTTGATCCTTTTTAGTGTTTTCTTGTTGAGATCTTACACTGAAGATAGGATATCAACAAGGCCGAAAATATCGGCCGACTGATATTATCTGGCAGATATTAGCATAATTATTTAATATCTGTAAGAATCGTAACCTTTTTCTTTCTCCGATAATGAAAACCCGATAACATGATACATGGTTTCGTCAAACTAAAAATAGTTTTGGAGATAAGCAGCTGCATATGAAAGTCACCAGTCACTAGGTGGCAGCAGTGCAGCTCATTTAAATAATCTCATATTCATAGAGTGGTTTGTACAGAAACATAAATAAATATTACCAGGCCTGTATCGGTATCGGTTGATATCGTAATCGGAAAACAAGTGTTTAGACATTACAGCATATCGGATATTGCCAAAAAGTTAATATCGGACGTCCCTAGCTATACCCCATGCAGTGTACCTTTGCTACATCTCGTTGTTATCAGCCTAATTCTATATTAAAGGGGCATTTCCAAGGTAAAACAAAACCTATTCAACACCAATGTTTTCATTTATTTCTACCAAAAACTCCCTAACCTTTATAATAGGGGTCTCAAGAACTGGCTTTGATATTTTTGTTCATTTCTTATATTCCTCCCATAATTAAAGTAAAAAAATCAAAGAAATTCCAAATAATAAAGTTATTGGTGCCATGCAGTGTAATCCAGAGCAGAGGACGTAATGAAAAGACAGAAGAGGGAAAAGTTGTTACTGTTGTTGTAGAGAAAAAGGCTCATGGTTATCATTGAAGGCCTTAAAATGAAAAGCTGAATACCCGTGTCTGCATTTTTGTCATGTGGCACGTGCGTGGCCTCAAAGAAAATTCTAAATTATTGTATTAGTTCCGGCCCCCAAGGTGGCCCTCCGACAAATATGTTCCTCGACCCCTGCACTGTAGGATCCTACAGCTGGCTCATACCAGGTCTGATGTCACTGAACAACATTCTGTAAATCAACGAGCTTTGACTTCAAAGGACAGCAGCTGTGGCTGGAACTGATCATACGCCCTGCTTATTCAACTCAACCATCAACTCCAGGTCTTCTTATTAGTACTGTAGATATACATATAGATAGAACTCATCTCTTGCTGCTACATTGTAGCGCGCGGTCTTTAGGACAACAACAGAAGAGCAGAGTCGACGCTCTCTGTGTGACAGTCCTTTGTGAGCCCAGCTGTGTGTTTGTGCTCTTAGCTCTGCTGTAGAATATCACAGATGGATCCCTAAAGGATGGATCACAGCCTCTCTTTGATGTCCGTGGTCCAGTCATAAGTATTTCTGACCACATCCTCTTCTGCATCGGCAGAAATTCAACCACAAACTGCTACTTTGTACAGACACTAATTTGAGTTTCATCATTTGTCAACAACCATTTTCAGAGTAAGAACAATCTCATCAAGCAATTATGAATCAGTTCAGCTGCCACTCTCCGCCCTCATGCTCCTGTGATTTCATGCAAAGGTTAGTGGTTGACATTCATTTGAAACAACGTGAGGTTTTGTTACTTCAAGGCTGATACTGAGCATCCAGGTGACTGCACCTTGACTTTAATATTTTCAAGCCGGTTCTGCACTGATGAAGCAGCTGAATTCTGTCCAGCCTTAAACAGGAGTCAGCTTTGTCTGTAGCCACTGTCCTTTCTTCAGGACAGCAGCACACGTGGTAATATTTGTCCACTTTGAAATGATTCAACTCAAAGACACCTTGTGTGAACGGCAATGTTTGGTATGTGAGTTTTTGCCAATTCAACTCTGTTTGATCTTTGATTAACCTTTCTTTCATAGCATTGGTCAGTAGATATTATGATTTTGGTGATTCT